TCTCCCCACTGAGCAGGGAGCCCAATACAGGGCTTGATTCCAGATCCCTGGGATCGTGACCTAAACTGAAGGCAGACCCTTAACTGACTGTGCAACCCAGGTGCCCCTGTCTGTCAGTTTTAATGGTATCTTTAATTCCTCTTACTACCTGTATAATAGTTAATAATCTTATGTTACTTTCTCTTCCACTTGTTCCAGTTTTTAATTGTAGCCCTTCTGATTATTAGATCATACAATGTTTACATTCTTCATCCATGTCCTTACTTTTGATTTGTTCTTAACTCTGCAACTAAATTTGTAAAATGTTCACCATTTGTCCTTTTTCTCAGGTCTTTCTAGTCATCTCTTGGTCAGATGAAGCTCATACTCTAAGGGTTGATGAACTAGTTTGTGGGTCAAATCTGATTCACTGCCTGTTTTTGTATGGCCTGCAAGCTAAGTTTGTTTTTGTATTTCTAGATGATTGGGGAAAGATAAGAAAAGTAATAATTTATGACACATGAAAATTATGTGAAATTAAAATTTCTATTTCACGAAAATTATATAAAATTAAATTCTAGTACCCATAAATCAAGCTTTATTGGAATATATCCATGCTCTTTTATGTATTTATTGTCTATGGCTCTTTCTGCACTACAACAGTAGATTTGACTAATTCAGCAGAGATTATATCACCTGAAAAACCTAACATATTTACTGTCTGTTCCTTTTTTTTTTTTTTTTAAGTAGGCTCCTTTCTCAGCATGGAGCCCAAGAGGGCTTGAACTCACGAGTTCAAGTCCTAAGCTGAGATCAAGAGTCACATGTTTAACTGACTGAGCCTTTTAGGCTCCCCACTACTTGTTTCTTTATACATAAAGTGTGCTGATCTCTATTCAAGTAGATTCCTCAGGAGAGGCTCATGTATACAGTATTTCTGATGTTCTGACATGTTCAAAATTATATTTTTATAGATTGGTTAGCAATAACATCCTTGATTTGCATTTTCTTTCCTTGAAGACACAGCTCTGCTATTGTCTTGTTTTATATGTTGTCATTGAGAAGTCTGATAACAGTCTAATTTTCTTGCTACTGTGTTATTTCATCTTTTTTCCAGAAAGCCTTAGGACATTTATGTTTACAGTCTTAGAACCTTAGTAGGATATACTTCAGAGCTGATCATCCTAGGTGAGTTTTACTGACTCATGGGTACTTCTAGTGTGTAGACTCAGGTCTTCTTTTATTTTAGGAAGTTTCCTTGGATTACAGTTTTAAATATCAGCTCTGTTCCATTGTTTCGATTTTCTTCTTTGGTGACTCCAGTCATGCCTATTTTCTGTTGCAACCCCCTTCTCTCTAACCCTGTATTTAATTACTGCATTTTCATTTCTTAATTGCTTTTCCTGCTTTGTTTAATGTTATGTATTATATTTTCATTTGAATCTATTGTCTTGGGCACCTTGTAATTTAGAATTCATTTCTGATAGGATTTTCTCGTTCTCTTCTGGTTTTTTGTTTGTTTGTTTGTTTGTTTTCCTGAGTTCAGTCAGGTCTCATTTATTCCTTTTTTGTCCACTTCTGTTCTTAGTTTCTTTATTTCTAATTAAAGGTGCTTTAATCTGATTAAGGACTTTCATATCCCCAGATGCTTGTTTGAGGCTATGTAATTAAGTTTGGAGCCTTATATTACAATTTCCTTTAGCTTTGTGATTGGATTTTGGCTCTTACTGCAATTTTGGCCTTTCTTTTTTGGTAATAGTTTTGTATGAATGTGGTCTACCTCTATTCTTTTTTATTTCATGGTTAGGGTCCACAAGTGGTCTCTTCTGTCAGTTGCCCTCTTCTGTGTAATTTCTTTTATAGATGATGCTGGTGGTAGAGATGAGGTGAGGAGAGCATTTGGCTAGTGTTTCTCTCATTTCTGTATGATCCTTAATTTTTCCCTTTTTTTTTTCCCTTGTTTCATTTACTGCCACACTGTTCAGGGCTTATCACCTTTTTAAAAAAAAACATACTTCATTTTCCTCCAAAAGCAACACTTCTTTCAAGTTGCCACTTCTGGTCATGCTCATTTTTTATCTTTCCCTGGGAACTGCCTCGTCTCAGCCTAATTTCCCCAGTATTGGGCGTGACTTTGTATGTGCTTCATCTAAGTCCTCTATACTCTTCTGTTTTCTTTCTTGGATCCTTTTAAGCCCCTCTCTCGTCTGCGTTTGTAGGCTTGAAGCTATAGGCAATAGGAACTCTAATGGAATAAGTCATTTGAAGCCTGTGGAATGTATTTTTCATCTCTCAGTAATGCTGCAGACATGAATCCTGTGTGGTTTTCTTGCTCTCCTTGTTTATGTTTTGGAGGAAGGTTTTGGGGAAGATTCAAAATCAGGCCATAGTCATCATCCTCTATCTGGATTCATGTATGTTGCATCATTTTTGTTGTTGTTGTTGTTTGCAGGAACTCTGAAAGGAAGAGTAAATAGTAACTAATAATAATAAAAGTAAATAATTTTAGTTTCAGTGGAACATCAAATAGATGTAAATACTGTAAACATTTCTTAACTATGTAAGTATTATTATAATGATTTTTAGAAGTTTGTTTAAGCAGAAAAATGTCATTACTCAAGCATTCTAGGTGTTGCATAGTGGGTTGGGTTTTTTTGCATACTTCATAGTCTGTTCTCCACTAGTACACAATTTTAAAAACTATTATTTAAAAATTAGGTGTTTCGGGGCACTTGGGTGGCTCAGTTGGTTAGGCGACTGCCTTCGGCTCAGGTCATGATCCTGGAGTCCTGGGATCGGGTCCCACATCGGGCTCCCAGTTCCATGGGGAGTCCGCTTCTCCCTCTGACCTTCTCCTCGCTCATGCTCTCTCTCTCTCTGTCTCTCTCTCTCAAATAAATAAATAAAAATTTTAAAAAAATAAAATATTTAAAAATTAGGTGTTTCAAAGCATATTTGTTTCAAAATTTTGTCAATTTTGAAGGCTCATTTTTGTTGTGATTAACTGTTCAGATTTTTATTTATTTTGGTTAACTAAAGTGGGTTTTGGTTTATTTGGTTTCTATTATATTAATGGCAGTTATGTTTTAACTATCGGGGAGCATTTGTTATTTGAGTCATCTTCATCCTCCTTGCTTTGTAATATGTTTTAAAGTCAAGACAAACTCATTTTTCATTTATCAGATGCATACTTCTACTGGAGGGGGTTTTTGTGATTGTGGAGACACAGAGGCGTGGAAAACTGGCCCATTTTGTGTAAGTCATGAACCTGGAAGAGCAGGTACTACAAAAGAGGTAAGAGTACTATTTTTAAAAATTACTAATTATTTTAAGCTTGATGCAGTTAGGTAGAAAGAAATGTTACATTATGGGTTAAACTCAATTCCATTAAGAATCCTGGTTTTTAATGTTCCAGTATTTAAATGTAAGGAGTTTTATTCTACTCTTTATTTATTCGTCTAAAGAGTGAATTTCTTAGTTTTATTTGTTACGCAGTCAGTTTGATAGGCAAGAGTAATATATAAGGCTTAAAGAGCAAATGGAACAGTAGAATTGACATGTAACTTCAATAATTACTTTTCTTAAAAAAATTACTTTTCTTAAAGAAAAAACAGTCAATAAATTGATTATCTACTAAACATCCTAATCAAGAAAAGTGAGTAAGCCCAGATAAAGGCTATTAGGAAGGAAAATGAGGAAATAATTATAGACGTGCAGATACAGAAGAAATTAAAAGGGTTATAAAAGACTCTTTATAAGACTATGTGCAAATACATTTGAAAAATGGGTTATTTTATCAAGCTATATAAAATTTCATCATTTATTCAAACATGGAGAAAAGTTGAACAGTTAATAACCAATGTAGAAATTCAGAATGTTGTCACAAGAAAGTACTTCCTAAGAAGTACTTCCTATGTTCAAATGATTTCACAGAGTCACCCTTTTGAAAAACTGCCAGAAATAGTTTTTGTACTCTTTAAACTCTTCCAGATAATCCTCTAGCAATGAATACCCCGAACCCCCAGATTTTGATCTCTTTAAGTACCATTACCCACTAAAAGAACTCAGGGCTTGTAAAAATACCTGACCAGGTCTGAGTCAAGGATTAAGTAAGCTTATGAGGATGGGTTTGTGTCTAAAGAATCTAGGACCCAGCATGAAAGGGCTGTCATTGATCAGAGTTGGACAATTAGAGCATCAAAATAATACTAATTACAGTAACTGCTGTAACTGATTGAATCATAATATATGAAAATTCATGAGTTCCTAGTAACACCAAAGAGAACTATAATAATTTTGCCATGGCAGTGGTTATTATATCAATTTCTCACACTGAAACCTGGTAATTAAAAGAATGAACTAAGCATTTATTCTACCTCTTTTTTTTTTTTTTTTAAAGATTTTATTTATTTGTTTTAGAGAGGAAGAGAGCGTGTGAGCAAGAGTTGGGGGAGGGACATAGGGAGAGAGAGAATCTGAAGCACACTACACCCTGAACTTACTCTAAACTTGGAGCCGTACTCGGGGCTCTATCCCAGGACCCTGAGATTATGACTTGAGCCAAAATTGAGAGTTGGACGCTTACCCAACTGAACCACTCAAGTACCCCTGTTCCGCCATTTCAATAGGAATTGTATTTCATGGTAAACAAGTATTTCCAGTTTACAAGGTAAAGCTCTTCTTTCTGGATGAATGCTACCTAGCTAATAGAGAAGGGATAATAGGATTAGAATAATTAACATTTTGCAAACCTTGAAGAAATATTTGATTCAGGCAAGTTCATTAATGGATGCTAAACCCATTAAGATATGAACAATATTCACATAGTTCTAAATTGTCATCTCATAGATCACTTGCTAGGCATAAAAGAAAAAAGTGAAACTTTAAGTGGAGGTATTATATTGTCATCTCCTGAAACTGGTCATTGCTATTAGCATCATTACTAATAATGGAGTGAGATGGCATAATGAGCCTCCTCACAGGATGTAAAATAAAGTACATAGGTTAACATCTCAAAATCAGCTCACTTTGGTGGCACACGTGCTAAAATTGGAATGACAGAGAAGATTAACATGGCCCCTATGCAAGGATGACACACAAATTTGTGAAGTATTCTATATTTTTAATGATTTCCCTCATATGTGGAATTCAAGAAACAAAACAGATGAGCATAAGGGAAAGGGAAAAAAAAAGAGAGGGAGACAACCATAAGAGACTCTTAACTATAGAGAATAAACTGAGGGTTGCTGGGGGCAGGGGATGGGCTATATGGGTGATGGGTATTAAGAAGGGCACTTGTGATAAGCACTAGCTATTATATGTAAGTGATGAATCTCTAAATTCTACTCCTGAAACTAGTATTACACTATATGTTAACTAAAATTTAAATAAAAATTTGAAATATTGGGAAAAAATAAATAAAAGTTCATAAATTTTTTTTAAATGTGTTAATGTAACATACTGTATAAACAGAATAAAAAACAAAACCACATGATCATCTTAGTAGATGTAGCAAAAGCATTTGACTAAATCCAACACACTTTCATCATAAAAAGACTTAACAAACTGAAAACAGAATGGAACTTCCTCAACCCTAATAGAGGACATTATGAAAAACTCCTAGCTATAAATATATTAGATACTTTCCCTCTGAGATCAGGAACAAGACAAAGATTCTGCGCTTGTCACATCTATTCAATACTGTATTAGAGGTTCTGGCTAGGGCAATTAGTATTGCAAGAAAAAGAAGTAAAAGGCATCCAGATTGGAAAGGAAAAAGTAGAACTAGCTCTATTTGCAGATGACATGATTTTGTATATGGAAAGTCTTAAGGAATCCACACAAAAAAATTTATTAGAACTATAAGTTCAGCAAGAATGTAGGATACAAGATAATTATACAGAAATCACTTGCTTTATACATCAGTAATCAAAAATCTGAAGAAGAATTTGAGAAAAAAATTCCATATTGGAATATTCTATTCCAATAATTCCATATTCCATATTATAGTATCAAAGAGAATACAATATTTAGAAGTAACTTAGCAAAAGCAGCATAAAATTTATATTCTTTTACTGTTGAAAGTTAAGGATGATCTCAATAAAAGGAAAAACATCACACTTTTTTTTAAAGTTTTTATTTTAATTCCAGTTAGTTAACATGAAGGGTAATATTAGTTTCAGGTGTACAATATAGTGACTCAACAATTCCATACATCACCAGTGCTCATCATGACTAGTGCGCTCCTTAATCCCTATCACCTATTTCATCCATCTCTCTACACACCTCCCCTCTGGTAACCATCAGTTTGTTTTCAGTAGTTAAAAACCTATTTCTTGGTTTGATTCTCTCTCTTTTTCTTCTTTCTCCTTTGCTCATTTGTTTCTTAAATTCCACACATGAGTGAAATCATACGGTATTTTGAAGACTTAAAATTGTTAATGTGGCAGTCCATTGGTTATTTTTTCCCCAGCACCACCAAGAGATTAAACTTACTTCTCCATTGACACTGACGAGGTATCCCACAAATTTAACTCAAGTCTGATACTCTCTGCTTGGTGATAACATCAGATTCTAGAGATTAATGATTTTAATCATTAATGTGAGCATAGTCTCACAAGCTTCCCCCATTTTAGATATCACTTGGAAGTCTAGGTTCTCTTTGCTTTTGCTTCTGACCAATTGGCTATAAATCAGAGATTCTCATAACCCTCTCTTCGGATTCCATTGATTTACTAGAGCAGCTCATATAACTAAGGAAATGAGATTTCCTAGATTTACTAAATTACCTATGTATTATAAAGGACTGTACTTCGGAAACAGCCAGATGGAAGAGGTGCATAGAGCAAGATATTTGGGGATGGGTTGTGGATTTTTGCATGCCCTTTGAGTGCACCACTCTCCCTAGATCTCTGTGTGTTCACCAACCTAGAAGTTTCCTCAAATCTTGTCCTTTTGGGTTTTTATGGATGTTTCACTATATAGGCGCATGATTGATTGAATCGTTGGTCATTGGTGGTTGATTCAACCTTTAGCCCCTTTTCCCTCTCCAGAGGTCAGGGGATAAGACTTGAAGTTCCAACCTTCAGATCCCCTGGCAACCAGCCTCCATCCTTAGTTGCTTTCTAAAAGTCACTTCATTAACATAATGAAAGACTTTAAAAATTCCTCCCTATACTTTGGAAATTCCAAGGGTTTTAGGAGCTGTATACCAGAAATGGTGAAGACCAAATATATTTCTTCCTATACATCAGAATATCACAGGCCATATGCTCCAGTTAATCTACAGATTCAATACAGTTCCTATCAGAATTCCAACTGGGAAATTTTTTTCTCTATTTTAGTAATTGACAAGCTTACGTTAAAATTTATATGGAATTATAAGGGACCCAGAATAGCCAAAACAACCTTGAAAAAGAACAAATTTGGAGAACTCACACTCCCCTATTTCAAAACCTACTACAAAACAACAGTAATCAAGACGATGTAGAATGACATAATGATAAACAGAGATTATGAGGATAGGTTTGAGAGCCCAGAAATAAACTCACCTGTCTGTGGTTAGCTGTTTTCAACCAGAATATGAAGGGCATTCACTAGGAAAAGAATAGTCTTTTTATCAAATAGTACCAGAACAACTAGATAGCCACGTGCAAAAGAATGAGTCTGGATCCCTAGCTCATATCATACATGAAAATTAGCTCAAAATGGATCAAAGACCTAAATGTGAGAACTAAAACTATAAAACTCTTAGAAGAAAACATAGAGGTAAATCTTTATTACCTCATATTTGGCAGTGGATTGATAGACATGACAGCAAAAGTCTGAGTAATAAAAGAAAAAATAGATAATTGGACTATACCAAAGGATACTGTCAAGAAAATGAAAAGCCTACAGAATGGGAGAATTATGTTTGCAAATCATATTATCTAATAAGGGACTCATATCTAGAACTTAAAAAGAGCTCTTAAAACTCCATAAGAAAAAGACAACCCAGTTTTTAAAACCTGCAGATAGTAATTTCTTCGTGAATAGTCATTTCTTCAAAGAGTATATATACATGGATACACACGCAGCTAGTAAGCACATGAAAAGATGCTTAGCATTATTACTCATTAAGGAAATGCAAACCAAAATCATGACATTCTTTTTCATACCCACTAATGGCTATAATCAAAAAGGCAAATAATAACGAGTGTTAGAATGTGACAAAGTTGGAGCCCTCATACACTTTGGTAGAAATGTAGAATAGTGCAGCCACTTTGGAAAATAGTCTAGCAGTTCTTCAGATGATTAATTGTAGAGGTAACATAACACTCCAGTAACTCTACTTCTAGGTATATCCTCAAAATAATTGAAAACAGTTCAAGCAAATATTTAGACATAAATGTTCATGGTAACATTATTCATAATAGTATTATTAGAGAATAATATATTACTCATAATAAAAGTAGAAACAACTCAATGTCAATCAACTGATTAATGGATAAACAAATGTGAGTAAATTGGTACAATGCATTATTTGGCTATAAAAGGAAAGTAATGAAACATGCTTCAGTTTGGAGGAACCCTGAAAACATTATGCTAAGTGAAAGAAGCCAATTATAAAAGATCACATTATATGACTACATTTAAATGAAATGTCTGGAATAGGCACATTTAAAGGGACAGAAAATGGGGTAGTGGTTCTTTAGGTCTAGGGGCATGGAGTCATTGGGTGGCAGAGGAAGAAATCACTAAGGAGTGTTTTTGTTTTTGTTTTTTTGAGGTGATGAAACTGGTCTAAAACTGATGTGATAGTTACAAATATGTGTAAATAAACTAAAACCATTAAATAGTATATTTTGAGTGAGTTATATAGTATGTGAATTATCTTAAGCTGTTAGGAAAATTGAAGTACCTAGAGCTTCACTTATGAAATATGTATATTTTTTAATATTGATTTGAGAGAGAGATTGCATGGGTTCATGTCCATTAAGGGATAGAGGGAGAGGGACAGAGAATCTCAAGCAGACTCACCATGGAGCATGGAGCCTTTCACAGGGCTCCATCTCACGACCCATGATATCATTCATGATCTGAGCCGAAATCATGAGTGGGATGCTTAAGTGACTGAGCCATCTGGCCCCACTTACGAAATACTCTTGATAAAATTGTTTAGCCCGAACTTAGTAAAACCTTGAGGTTTAACTTTTAGAAAATACAGGGGAGACATGGACACGATAAAGAAGACCACAAGGAAGATACGTATAAAATGTAGGACATTTCAAGGTAAATCTAGAATGTAGGAGTTTTTATAGGAAATATGGCCTGGTTTCTGTCATGAAGAACAAAAGGCTGGAAGTGGAGATGGGAGATTCATTTAGATGTAAATGACCTAGACATAATAACCAAATGCTAGATATTTTGGGAAGAATTAGGAAAACTGAATATAACCAAAACATTAGAGAATACTTAAAAATTATTAATGTTACTAGATATAATAATGGCATCATAAGTATGTAAGAAAATTCTTTTTTTAGAAATGCATGTTAAGTATCTAGGTTTAGAATATGACCAATACCTTAAAATACTAGAAAAAAATATATGGAAAAATAACAATTATTGAATTTAGGTAAAAGTGTCTTTATTATAATGATCTTCCTGTTTTTCCACATTTAAAAAATTTTACTGGTTAAAAATAAAAACCAGTCAACTTAATACCAAATAAATAACAAAAATATAGAAACTGTCCTTAAGCATAGAATGGGGAAAAGATAAAGTTTCCAGATTTGTTATGTAAAGCCAACATTATATTGATCTCATATCTGTCAAAATAGAGAATGTACAGGTCAGTTTTATTAATCATTGTTATGCTGAAATACTAAATAAAACATTAGTGAGTGAAATCAAGTCTTTTAAAACAATGTAACACTATCATGCTTACCTTCCTGGAATGAACTCCTCTTGGAATTCACTTGTGAAACCGTTAATCCTGGCACTTTCTGGAAAAGTAGCCTCTTTTTAAAAATCATGATACCTGGAAAACCCAAGAATGTTAACTGAAAAATGGAAACTAGAGTAGAGTTTAGTTAAGTTACTGGTTACAGAACTCATTTTAAAAACCATTAGTTTTTCTGTTTAAT